AGAAGTTGACAACGAGTTGTATTCCCCTATAGTACATTTTGAGGCATTTCATGTGTGTCAGGCCTAGACATGATATTTCTGAAACGTCATACTTCCTAAAGAATATAAAAAGACATAAAGGGTTTGGCTTGTCATGGGCATGCGGCCATGGGCAACACGCCTTAGACGAGCATGACTGTGACATCCTCCCCCACCTAATTGGTTGACGTCCCTGTCAACCGACTACTTTCAAACCTGGCGATGTGGGTGGCAGCAGAGTCCAGATCTTCGGCGCGTTCCTAGCTGGTTTCCTCCGTAGGGAGATTCTTCCATTTGACAAGGAATTCATGAATCTTCCGTACAGGTCTTCCTATCTTCCTAACCCTGTCGGCTAGGATCTCCTCTATTTCTTTGGTGTCTCTTTGTTTCAGATCGATGCTCGGTCTAGTGATTACATTTCGCTGGTCGTTGTCTGGGTCAGGGTGATAGGGCTTCAAGTTGCTCACATGAATTACTGGGTGGATTTTCATCCATGTGGGTAGCGCAACTCTGTAGGAGGTAGCCCCAATCTTTTTCAGGACTTCATCCGGGCCTTCATATTTTCGAACTAGTCTCTGGTCCTTTCGGCTGCGAAATCTGATCTGTTCTGGTCTCAACTTGATGAGGACTTGATCTCCGAATTGGAGGGGGCGATGCTTCTTGTCCGCCCACTTCATATGCTTGGAAGCTTTCTCTAAATATGTCCGGGCTATATATATTGTCTACTTCCATTCTCTTGTGAAGTTTTGAGCTTGAGGGTTTTTTCCTGCATAAGGATGATCAATAATATGGGGCAAGGCTGGTTGTCGTCCACTTACAATTTCGAAGGGACTCTTTCCCGTAGACGAACTCGTTTGACAATTGAAACAAAATTGGGCGACATCTAGCAATTGTATCCAGTTCTTCTGACGAGCGTCGACGAAGTGACGTAAGTATTCTTCGAGCAAGCAGTTGAACCGTTCCGTCTATCCATCGGTTTGAGGATGATAGCTCAAGAAGATGTTTACAGTTGTTCCCAAGAAGGCGAATAATTCGGTCCAGAATGTGCCAATGAATCTACCATCCCTATCACTGATGATGCTCGACGGAATGCCCCATAACTTTACAATGTGTGTGAAAAATAGTTGGACTGTTAGTTCAGTCGAGCATAATTTGGGAGTGGGGATGAACGTCGCATATTTCGAGAACAGTTCTACGATAACCAAGATGGCGTCATATTCTCCGACTTTTGGGAGGTGTGTTATGAAGTCCAGAGACACACTTTTTCAAGGCCTTATTGGCACAGGTAGAGGTTCCAAGAGTCCCGAGATCTTGGCTTTCTCGACTTTGTCCTATTGGCAAATGAGGCACGTCTTGGTGTACTGCATGATGTCGTCCCGCATATTTGGCCAGAAGTACCCTTTTTTATTAGGGCATATGTTCTTTGCCACCCAGGGTGTCCAACCCATAAAATATCATGACATTCCTGAATAAGCTTCTTCCTCAGTTCTCCCGTTCTTGGGACGTATAATCTGTTTCCTTTAGTTATTAGAAGGTCTCCATCGACCCAAAACTGTCGTGTCTTCCCAGCTTTAGCTAGTTCGACGACGGCTTTGGCCGATGGGTCTTTATGTAAATGTTCTTTGATGATGTCGCGTATCGATCCATCGATCTTACTTGAGTGAATATGGGCTAACATGCATAGGGCCGCATGTTCGCCCTTCCGACTTAGCGCGTCGGCTGCTTGATTACTCTTTCCTGCCTTGTGTTCAAATTTGAAGTCGAATTCAGCCAATGACTCCTGTCACCGGGCTTGTTTTGCCGTCAATTTTGGTTGATCGAAGAAATGGCAAATGGCGCTGTTATCCGTCTTCACTACGAACTGTGATCCCAAGAGATACTGTGTAACGATAAGGGTTTCAAAAAGGCACAAAAAAAAAAAAAATAAAGAAAACGCCTTAAATCTCGCCGGAAATCGCGGGATTTTCGGTGAGGTATGTCTTGCCAGCAAGGGCATATTAATGCCTTGAGTCCCTATATTAAACCCTAGGAACGTTATTAGCCGTCTTTTCCTTTTGAGTCACTGTCATACCTGTGAGGGAGGAGCCGAAAGGTTTAGGTGAGGGATCGAAAACGTCGCGAGACTTCAGACTTCTGTGAGCCTTAGGTAGGAGCAAACCGACGCCAGGGTACTTTGGGACAAGCGGGACAGATGCATCGCCAAGGACGACGGAAGGCGGTGGTCTCATCGGCAACGACAGTTGAACTCTGCGATTAGGGTTCATTGGCATCCTCAGGTGAGGAAGACGGAGCAGCGGGTTGCGGGTCGGGTTCTTCGGGTACCCGCGAGCTCGCTCAGCCAACGTGCGACCCACTGTTGCGGCCCGCACGCTTGGAGTCTGCGTGAGACATTGACGTTGGGCCGCGTATCCATTCCAGCCCAAGACCGGCGAATTTAAGCGCGCCCATTCGAGGATTGTCCTGATCCTCCTTCTTGTCTGGCATAGTCTCAACTCCTGTGTCGTTGCTCTCTTGAATGGACACTTGGAATGTAGTGAGAGAGGCCCGATGAGGACAGTAGGACAGTCTGTGGGGGCCTTTACACAACAGGCATTGTAAAAGTGTCGTCGGGTGGCTCTTTTGAGGGTAAGGCCCTCGAGATGTCCCTGCTTGGTTGTTTTGAGGAGGTCTATTTGTCCACCTGCTTGGTCTGTCGTTACTTCTGTTTGGCTTATTGGGGCTTCCATTTCAATGACCTGGCGGTTTATATGTTTTGCCCCCAGTGTTTAGGGCCTGTGTTGTTCTTCTTTGGTAACCCGCTTCGTTCCCAAATTCTAGGAGTCTCTCAGTGCTGGCAATTGCGGTAGCTAGGTCTTGGACCTTTTTCTCGTGTATTTTTGTTTTGGCCCACGGTTGTAACCCGTTTATAAAGAAGAATACCTTGTCCTTCTCTGATGTGCCCCTGATATCTAGCATCAAGTCGAGAACTGTCTAACATAGTCCCTTATGCTTCCAGTTTGTTTTAGGGCTATTAGTTCATCCATTGCTAGATGTTCTACGTTTTCGGGGAAGAATTGGTCCCTCAACTCTCTCTTGAGGTCTTCCCACAAGTCGATGGTGCACAGTCCATTCTCGATATCTTGCACCGTCGTACGCCACCAAAGTTTTGCATCGTCTATGAGATACATTAAGGCTATTGTCACTTTTATGTCGTCGGTACAAGCCGTTATGGCTTTGAAGTACTGTTCGACATCAAAGATAAGATTCTCCAACTCTTTGGCGTCCCGGTTCCCTTTGAAAGGTCTGGGGTCTGGGAACTTCAGTTTGTTAGATCCTATATTAGTTTGCTCAGCCGTGACGTTCTCCACGGCTTTCATGGTCACCTCAATTTGGGTGCTCATGACGGCCATCTTTTCTTGGATGGCATCAATCGTTGTTCTGAATTCTTCAGCTAATCCATTGAATAAACTCATCATTGTATTTTGTAGCACGTCAAACTCTTCGCCACGTTCCTCCTTGTGCACGACAGAGCTATCGGGGCTACCAGACGGTCTTGAGCTGCTCGTAGGAGCAACTCTTTCTTCGAGCGAGGTCACTCGAAACATCAGTCCTGCGATTGGCAACCCATCCAGGCGGTTGCCCATTGCGTCGATTTCTACGACTTTTCCATTTAATTCCGTCACCCGTGCTTCCAGGAAGCGGATGGTGTTAGGGACTTCTTTGAGGAACAACATTTCCTCCTTTATTAAGGTAAGCTGGTCGGCTTGTGATTTGGGTGTCGACTTTGTCATCGACATGTTTTCGGTCTTTGCTATGTCACGGAGCTAACAAAGCTCTGATACCACTTGTCATAATTGCACTCTTGATGGCAGTGAACTTGCGATTGTGCAGCACTCACTTTCCAACGAAAAGTGAGCTCAGACAATTCGTTCTTGCGTCGCCTACGACCAAGCGACGTATGCTTGAGCCTCTGGCCTCAGTTTTAAAAGAAAGTTTTAGAAAACGAGGGTAGAGAGATTTTTGAAAGAGACATTATATAAGCAAGCAAGAGAGAAATAACAACCACAGTATATAACCTTGGGTAGGGAGAAGTTGACAACTAGTCGTATTCCCTATAGTACATTATGAGGCATTCCATGTCTGGCAGGCCTAGACATGATATTTATGAAATGTCATACTTCCTAGACATACAAAAGTAAACACTAAAATATGAAAAGACATAAAGGGTTTGGCTTGTCATGGGCATGCGGCCATGGGTAACACGCCTTGGACAAGCATGACCATGACACCGGGCAGCACGGGGTGTGCCGGTATTGCGCCCCAGCCCGCCTGTTGGAGGTTGCTACATACATCCGCTATCCGATACGGTATCCGTAAATGACACGACATGGTTACAGGAGGGCCAATGCCTCGATAGAACCTGGATGGATGGATGTTCGGGAAGTCCCGATGAGATGAGCAACACGGGGCCTGTTCTCGATGGCACGATTGAATGGGTTGTGATGGCCAACGACATCCCGAGACTCGGGATGGCGCCAAGACATATGAATCATGTCAATGGGGATCAAGATGACAAGATGAGATGCGACGTTGCATTGAGAGACCTTGACCCCGAGTAGAGGCAAGGTCGAGCCGAATGACAGTCATGAAAACTAAGAGCGTGTAATGAGTGGCAATTTTGAAATTATATGAAATTAAAAGGCATACCTAATCATCCTCTTCATCTGCGTCTTGCCTTTCACAGTGAAGCCCCGGGTCCAGACTCATTTGTTCTTGCAATCTTGCGAAATCTTGATTCCATGGCCGCTGTTTGACATATTCTTGTTCGTTCTGATCCAATGCTTCTTCTTCGCCGACTTGGAGCCGTATTTCGTTCATCGAGAAGGTTGTATAGCAGCAACGGCGACCATGATTTGGCAAATACCATCGCTGAATTTAACAAGGTATTTTGGATTTCAACGATTAGTATTTGTACAGAATTGGAAGTATATATCGTTGTGTATACGAGCTTTGTTAAAGATTATGAACAAGTATGCACTGTACTATCAAATAGGGAAAGTGAAAAGGGGAAATTTCGTTAGGCATTTCTCTCATCGTTTATTAGAAATCGGAGATACTTTGTGTCTGGCCATTTTATGGCCGCTGCTATTGTGATTAGAAGAAAGGCAAAGATGCTCGTTTCCAGACTTAGGATTTCATCTTACTCTTCATCATGATCAACATTTTACACAACTCAGTAAGTCATGGCAATGAAGGTTAAATGTCGGAATGGCTCTCATAGTCTAAATTATGTGTTTAAGGACTATGAATTTAGTTTTGATTATTATACCATTATATACTTTGTTTGTCTTTAACTCATGATGGAAGAGCTTGATTTCAGAACAAATAACTCAAACGGATCTGTAAAGCGGAGACTTCTACGGGTGGTCTGTTACAAAGTTTTGCATTATGTCCTACTCCATTGTTGCATGGTCACTCTGTACAAATATTATCTTTGTTACTTTATTATATCATTGACAAAAACAAAAATTTTTTGAATTGGATCTTATGAATCTCTATTTTTTCATGTGCAAATACTTATTTTAGCTGTGTAGTCTGATTCTGAAGCAGTATCCTTCTTATCCAACTTCGTAATTTTTGTTCAGGAAATGGAATCAGTATTTGGAGACCTTCCTCCTAGTGGGATTTCAGGTTCTTCACATAACAGATTTACAGTTGAAAAGTCTGCAATAACGCCTCAAGAATGTGAAAATGCCGTGTCTTTGACCCATGTTGGCAGAGCTGGGGAAGCTCAAATGGTCGATGTTTCTCCAAAAGAAAGCACCAAAAGAATTGCAATTGCTAGTTGCAATGTAATTCTTGGCAAGAAGGTGTTTGATTTGGTCTTAGCTAACCAAATGGCCAAGGGCGATGTCCTCAGTGTTGCTAAAATTGCAGGAATAAGTGGAGCAAAGCACACAAGCACTCTAATTCCACTTTGTCATAACATAACCCTGTCACATGTGCGAGTCGACCTTCATTTAAATCCCAAAAATTACAGTGTGGATATAGAAGGAGAAGCTGCATCAACAGGTAAAACAGGAGTTGAAATGGAAGCAATGACAGCGGTGACCATTGCTGGCCTTACGGTCTATGATATGTGCAAAGCAGCTTCAAAAGATATTCAGATCACAAATGTGCGACTTGAAAGTAAAACGGGTGGGAAGAGTGGACAATGGTCAAGGGAGGAGTAAAAGCTTAAAGGTACATGTGTTGTTTTACTTCTTCTGAATGTTTGAGACAGTTGATTTGATGCACATTTTCAAGAAAATCTGGTTTGGTTTTACCTTGGATTGAAAAGTAGTTTGTCCTTGAGATTATTAGGTGAACTCTAAAGTTAAAAAAAGGAAAGATTAGTAGGTGAACCCTTGACAGTCATGTTACAAGAACCCCCATGACTACATCTACGCATGATCTACGCCCCCTCCCCCTTCTTTCTTCTATAAGCTTACTTGGATGCATCTCTTACCACTGCACTTTCTTTTTTACTTCTAAATCTTTTTTGATCTACCCTTTTCAAACCCCAAATAATAGTTACAAAAAGTTCAAAGACTGAAGCCCACAAAGAGGTGTTAAATTCAACACTATCCTAATCCTCTTCTTCAGGGACGGACCCAAGTAACAACACCCTTATTCTAGCTTCTTTCCTGGAACCTTGGAAACAATCATATGAGACACATATTTAGATGTCAATTTTTTTAGGATTAAGGCTATCTTGTATGATTCCATCCACCCATGCTCTTTTTTCTATTTAGGATATCATAATGTAATTTCTTACTGTTTTATTTTCAAGGATTCCCCCAATACCTTTGATAAAAAAGCTCAGGAAAGTCATCTAGTCCTGGTGTTTAGTTGATACATTTGTTGTAAGGCCATTTCAATTTCTTTACGTACAAAGTTGTTAGTTTTACATTGATTTCCACTATAACTCTTGGACTCGTGTGTCTTGGAACTTTTTGAATATGGATTGCATATGGCGATTCAAAATTAGCTTTAGAATAAGAAAGGTATCTTCAACACGACTTATGCCCCCTCGTCATTCGCTTGGACCAATAAAAATTCCCTTGATTTCATTGTTCTTATGTTGCAATTCGACTTTAGCATAGAACCATTTTGTATTCTTATCTCTCCATCTTAGCTACTTTTGACGGAATCTCTATTTCTAATAGATTTCCTCTTCCTCAAGTATGTTGTCTAACTGTTGTTTAATGGAATGAATTATGTCCAAGTTAGGAGGGAAATTTTCTTTCGTAAGTAGCCTTCAACAGTTCCTCTTGTACCACATTTGAAAGCTTTGAGAGACTTGCTTCTTTGCAATTGTGGTCAGGAGAGAATTTTGTGTGATTGTCATAGTTTTCCACATAGTGGAGTCTCGTTTTGTGGGTATGTTTTTTTTTAAATCCAATTTTGAAGTTCACATTTCTTATTTTTGTTGTTTTCTTTTAATTTCTCAATCATTTTTATACTTATTCCCGTGGTAGAAATGAAAAGTTTTTTTCCCGTCATTAGATTCGTGTCTTTAACGTATCAATAACAATAAAAAGTTGTGGTTCTCAGTTTTGATAGAGATTCGTGGTTGAGCTCTATTGAACTGATAGTGTGCTCTAGAGAAGAAGAGAGAAGTTGACATACTTATGAGCTAGACTATTAGTTGACTATTTGAGTAGAGACTCGGTAGTACTTTGTTTAGTTTAGGAGTATGATTGTTGGGATTGCTGTCATCAATTAAAAGTTGCATTATACGTTATTTAGTATTAACTCTCGTAAACTATATAGCCTTTGCCTTCTCTTACTAGTTATAGTTCAATTGATTTAGACATAGAACTCGAGCAAAAGGTTCGAAGTCCACCCTAAAATAAATTGCACAACATTGGAGTGTCAATTGGATTCTCTTTTTGCTACTGCACTGTAATATTGGAGGCCCATAAGGGTCTATCTTGCCTTATATATATATATATATATATATATTGAACTATGAAGTCATGATATCAGTAACAGAAAGTATGTCTACTAATTTGAGCTATTTTTACTAAATATTTTATTATGTGATAAATTTATCATTGATTAAATTAGATTTGTCATTATTACCAAAGATCCTACATTTTAATAAGCATTGCGACATGGATTTTTGTATTATATTACATAAAAAAGTTATTGAGAAATTTGAATGGATATTCTAAAGTCTTCAAAGATGTATATCCATGTATTCATAAAAGTAATTATAAGTAGCATTTGTTTTAAATTTGTACCCTTTTTTCTTTGACCGTAAAAATAGCTTATTGATTACCCTTAATTTTAATAATGATAAATCAATATGTTTTTATTTATCATAATTAAACATTTATCTTGCATGTTAATTAGCTTTCTTGATAACATTTTTAAGACCAATTTTCCTTTTCAATAATGATTAAATTTGTAGTTGTCTTTTTTTTATACTTCAAGAAATTAAAGTCAAAGTTTACATTTTTTTTTTTTTTTTTTTTGTCATGGTAATTAAAGGTCTTTTTGATAATGTTTTACAATCTAATTCACTACCATGGCATAAACCCTCTTTGTTGTTCTCGTCGACGCCCAACAATTGGCAATCAGCACAACGACAACGATGATAGGATAGAGAGAATACCAACCCAAAGCATCAAAATTGTCCTAGTTGCATTCGACAACAATGGTGTGATGGCTACGCCTCCCCTGTTTGGGCTCTTGCTCGAATCGAAACGTTTATGCCTTGGTAGGCCTTCGACTCAATCTAATAGCCTACCTATTGGGCGACAATGAAAGAGAGTTTTCGCATGGGTTCATCATTTGATACAGAACGGATTTCATAACCACCATCCATCACCAATCACATTCCACATCCCACTTCAAACTTGTCTGTTGATTCCTCGGGGTACCCCTCTATTCTATTTCGAGAAAGGCATTCCAGCTTCAAAGGCAGGTGAGCCGGGTTAGGAAGAAGTTTGATTGCTGGGATGGGATTGAATCCATCCTACTCGAACCACTCCACCACGAATAAGAGTCCGAAGGTTGGATAGGCAGTCAAGATAGGAACTCCTATCTGTAGGGCGGGCTTTTAAGGCAAAGATGCACTACTCCATCTGGAAAGAGTTTTCCCTTGTGGAGAAAGAGAAGAACACATTATTTAAAGGTCAGGCCAGAAGGGAGTCAAAAATCAATAGAAAAAATCTCTTCTCGACCGACGGGACACTACGTCTGGGTCTTATTCCATCTCAAACTCGGATTAGGAAGAGTGCCCTTGAACTACAGATCAATCATAATACACAATACCCAAAAATATATCGATTCTCGACGAGAAAGAAAAAAAAGGGGGAGGGGAAGAGGAGATTCAGGATAGTCACTCTGCTACATCTAACCGAAACGGAGAGGAGAGTACGTCGACAACAAAGGTTTTCAAATTTTCTTTTTTTCTTTTTTAATTCATGGATGTTACATAAACAACAAAGTACAAAACATGGGCAAAGGACCAAAATGGATATGAATTTTAGAGATTTTGACATATTATAGATAAAATTAGATAATTTGGAATTGATTAAAAGTGCTCCACTTTGGAAAAAAACAGTAAACGGGGGCAAATGTGTCCAAATCTTTAAATTGAAAAAAAAAAAAACAAATAACCTCCAAGTTAGAGGCTTAGTTACTTAAATAGATATTAAATACATTACACCAAAAAAAAAAAAAAAAAACCATAAATCCCAAATGTCATGAAGAAAATTCCTATTTTTCTTTTAATTTTCCCCCTTTTTTTTTTTTGTTATTCCTGTTTTGTCCCTAAGGAACACAAATCCCATCTCAGGGTCAGACATCACGTGCACCCACGTGGAGCGAACCCGATCCGAGAACCCGCCAAATCGTACACGACCCGAAACCCTTGCTGTTGAATATTCCCAATTATCGACAATCCGGACATGGTACCCGCAAACGCAAAGCAAAAGCTTCCACTGTCGTCTACCGGTATCAAATAATTTGTCGCCGGCAATGCCATGTCAGCTCCCCGGAAATGCAGCACCACTGTCGGGACCTTCACCGCCGACTGTCCCGACAAGTCGTAACACGTATCGAACAGCGAAAACTCGGGACCTCTTTTTAAATGGGACGCGCCAGCCCGGAACGCGTCGCGAAGAGCAGTGTACGCCGGTCGGGTCAGCCGGGTTACCGATGTACCCGAATCGATTATGACGCCGCCGTTGCCGGCCGAATCGAGCTTGAAGAGGGAGGCGGAGATGCCGCGGACTCGGACTCCGCCGACGCTGATTCCGATAAGTTCGACATAATAAAACGTTTCCAATTTCGGGTTCAAAATCAGAGGAGTGAACCGGGCGAGCCGGGAAATTGCCGCATCACCGAAAACCATAGAGGAGGGTTTGGAGGAAGCGGACCGGTCCACCAAACAATAAGAAAATTTATGGTTGAACCGGAGTCCGGTTTGAGAAGGGAAAGAAAACCGACCACGGCCAAGACCCAATAATCCAGCGGCACCGACGAAGAGGCCTTCATTGTCGTGGCCGCAGCCGAGGGCGACTTTGGCGATTTTATTCCCACGAAACGTGAGCGTTTCGGTGGCGAAATCGCCGGTGGTGAAGGACCCATCGCCGTAGGAGACTTGGTAGAGGCAGGTGTGGCGGCGAGTGTTGCAGCCGGAGGAGTCAAGGCGGCGGCAGAGAGGAGAGGAACAGGGGATTCCGGCGAAGGATTTGGATTTGAAGGGGTTAAAAATGGGATCAGATTGGGAGTAGCATTTCCGGCAAGGGGAGCATTGAAGCCAAACGACGTCGCTTCCGGTGTCAAGAACCATATAGATATATCTAGAAGGCGTTCCGACGCCAAGGCGGGTGAAGTACTCACCGCTACCTTGAGCAAGGCCGGAGATAACAGAGCTACTGAACCCGGCTCGCCGGAGAGGAGTCCGGCTCCGGGCAGCAGTCAGGGAGGTCAACGAGTCAACACGGAGGGCGTCGCGGTGGAGCCGGAGGTTGAAGAGATCGGAGGGGGTTTTGTTGGGAGAGAGTGAATCCAAATGGTGGAGCTCAACCGTGAGGGCGGCGGTGGATTCGAGCGTTTCTTGGGTGTCGAATTGGGGTTGTGGAAAGGGAAGGGGAGAGGGAATTGGAAGACGGCGGAGAGTAAGGGTTTGGAACTCCGACGCGGCGGAGGCGACGGCGGCGAAGAAGAAGAAGAAGAAGAAGAGGAGATATCTTGGAGGAGACTCCATTATAGAGAGAAGGAGATTTGGGTGTGGAATGGAAATTGGAGAGAGGAGAGGTTAAATTTTATAGAGAAAAAATAAAGCGATTTGCAGATTAAGCGGTTTGTGCGCTACTTTTATGAGTGTGGTTTCATTATCTTCCCT